AGTAGTAAGTAGTAAGTAGTAAGTAGTAAGTAGTAAGTAGTAAGTAGTAAGTATAAGTAGTAGTAGTAGTAGTAGTGGTGGTAGTAGTAGTAGTAGCAGTAGTAGTAGTAGTAGTAGTAGTCGTCGTCCCACTAGTCGTGCTGGTGCAGCAGCCAGTAGTGCGCCCCCGCTTGCCCTTGCTGTTGTGACCAATACCCCAGCTGCACCACGTGGGGTGCTTGTGGCGTTGCGGCCTCGAGCAAAATTCAAGTCTTCCGGCTCATAACCTGCAAACCGTCTTCGACATGTTGATCTTGGTGCTTGTACTGCTTGCTTGCTGTTTGCTCTAGTCTGCGCCCAGCTCCGGCAGGACTGCCCACAACATCTCGAACACTCAAGTGTCCTGCTTGTTCGAAAGGAAAGTCTTGGAGAAGATGCAGGCCTCAAGGGCCACGAGCCATGGCAATGCGTTTTCCAGCGCACCGAAGAAAGCTCGACAAGAAGAATCATGTCTCGGGTCAGCACATTCGCACCGACCTTGAATGTCTCATTGACTAGGTCATTGAAACCTGCCAATCGGGCCAGGGATCGAGATCTCACAGCCCTCTCCGCGAAACCGCATCCATCACTTTCTCACTTCCCTCCCCGCCTGGACGGAACATCTGCGACCACTTGGACCCGGTCCGTGCAGACTCTTCCAGCGCCATCCCTGGGGTGTCCCGGGACGGGCTCCAAAGAAAGCAGAGAAGGTCGGAGCTGGGGACCCTGCGGAAGTGCGGTGGCTCCATGCCGTGCGCCATCCGAATCGTCGCAGCCCGCACCCTCGGGTCCTGAAGGAAGAGCCATGACTTACGACTCTACGAAGCCACCACATTGCCTCGGTGTAGAGCTGCTTGTGGGAAACCGGAACCTTCCGAAACAGGGCATTGGAAAACCGACTCCTCTTCACTGCCTCAGGCCAGCCCCTTCCGCCTTGATGCTTCGGTTCACGATGTCTGGAAGGGTGGAAACACGCCGCAGGTACTGCTGCCTCGTCTGCGAAACAGCCGTCTACTTTGGGAATCGGCTGCTGCAAAGTCTTCCCGTTAATGCGAAGGTCCCCTCAGCTTCCAGGCTGGAGATTCATTGGCAGATTGCGGCGCACAAAGTCTCTGTCCTGCGCGCGGCTCCATGACTCCAAGGCATCAAAGCAATACCCGTGCAAAACAGAGCTCCTTCTTGATTGCCAGCTGTGTGTCAGGGGTCCTGCGCACGGAGGATGCACAGATAATCGAGTCTTCACATGCTGTTTGAATCTGCGCATTTGCCAGGCTGCGCACGATACACCGGATTCAGCTCCCCTTCCGACTGCATCCATCGTAGTCTGCAGCACAGAATGAGGAATAACGCTGTCGGTGCCAGCTCAATGCAGAATACAGCTCGGCAACGGACCATCAAGGTTGAGATCTTTACTGCGGCTATCGTAGACACCGTCACACTGCCGCAATCATGGCCAAGATTACCACCACCGTTTTGATCATTCAGCCATCACCATCTCCCTAATGCTCACTTGCCTGACCAGCATCAACATCAGCTTCCTCGCCGCCATCATGATCGCTGTCATCAGTGTCATCACCCACAGAGCCAGTACAAATCTCATCATCGCCACATCATTGTCAAGCTCATCACCTTCCTCTGACTCAGACCTCCACCACAGCAACCTTTTCCCCCTATCACCGTCAGGATCATGACGATGCACTTGTCATCGTCATCGCCATCATGTTTAGCATCATCACCGCCCTGATCGTCATCGTCTTTGCCACCGCCCCAGGGATTTCTGCCTCTTTCTGGTTGTGCCCTCATCGAAAACATGTCCTTTTGCCTTATAGGTCCTAGCAGTCTTATATAGCAAGTCTGGCCTTATCAATCGTTATATATTATAGTATTGACAGCGCTGACCACTTGCTTGCAAGAATGGCTTGCTTTGGGTTAGCATGTGATCAGCTGATACTTTCATGCCGCTCGCTACAATATGTTACATGTTGCTGCTTTGATCACCCGAGTTGCACGACCTGCTCTTAGACCTCCCATACAGTGCAACTACTGGTGGATGCTCCCGCTGCTATTACATTCATTGGTTCAACAATGGCAACGCTGATCACGGTTCCCATCAAGAGGTCTTGCTGCGGCTGCGGTAACTACTCTGAAACCTGATATGGTTGGCCGGATTTCTACGTTCACTACACGTAAGAGTCTAAGTACTATTTGCCAGTACCATTAGTGTCGCGACGACAACACCACAAGCTATTGAAATTTTGTTACTCTACTGACATCGTGGCTCGACTTGTCACTGGTTCCCGTGTTGCCACACGATGTCATCTTGCTACTAGGCTAGAGTTACTACTGCGAACGCTGTTGCTACAACTACTGCAAGCTCCCAAAACCCTGAACCGTAAACCTTCGGAGTATAACTTGCGGGCTGCCCACCTGGCGGGCTCGCAGCTCCGCCTCCACTTCATGCCGCGCGGCTGCTACATCGTCGGGCTCAGGATCCGGCCTGAAAACCAAGCACAAAATCACAGAGGCACAGTACAAACAAGTCTCATCCCGGCAGGCAGCAAAATGCTAGAGAATGTACGCACTAACTGGAAACCAGAGCTTCATGATGACATCGTCAGTTGATCCTCGACATCGGCAACACGATGATGATGTTGAGAACCAACCACCGTCGCCATGTTCAACAATCGTAAACTATCATCGTGATCATCGGCAGCACGACGGTTGCCATAGGCAGCACGATCATCATCACTGGCAATATCACGACACTCAACGATGCTCTTTGTTCCTCTTCACCAGCGTAATTCTCAGCACCATCCCCAGCATCACCCACACCGTCGCAGAAATCAGAGACTGCACAACGCTCGTCGTCACAAACAACCACAACATTACAACTGCAAGCTTTCTCGAAGAACTTGCAACGTCTTCACAACCGTCGTCGCAATCATCAAGGTTCGTCATCGCCCAAACCGTTGTTTGCCGCATGGTATATCAACTTTAGCTGCATCTCACTTCGTAGGAGTGGGCTCTATCTATGACCCAAATGGCAATGGCCGTCCTCCCCTCGCGTTGCACCCGAGCTCTCGACGCACCCGCAGCACTCGAAGGCAAGGCTGGCAGCCCCGACGGCCTTGGCCCGTTCGAGAATGGGATCTGGCATCTACCCGAACTCTTATGAACACGCGAGGCTTCTTCGCATGCACCGTGCTTTCAACTTTTGATTCACAACCCTTCCGGGTGGCGTGCTTCGTGAGCTCATAAGAGGTCGCGATTGGCCTCGGCTCTCAGAATGTAGGAGAATCTAGGAAATTGCGCATGGACAAAAAAGAGGGCGAGAGAGAGAGGGAGAGACAGAGAGACAGAGAGAGACAGAGAGAGAGACACAGCGAGAGACAAAAAATCGAGAGTTACCGACATAAGAGAAACGCCTTTCTAGACGTAGCTGCTAGCCTGTTGGCGAGTTGGTTAGCACTTGCAGCACGACCCGATCACATAGGTCGCGACGGTTCTGCTGAGAGTGCTGGGTAGCCGCCCTGGCAGGTCTGGTGTGCAGCCGGGCTCACTCACTTCAGTTGGAAACATGCACAAACATGAAACCGAAGCCCTGAAGCCTGAAGCGCAACCCTCCCCGGTCTTCAGAACGAGCAGTCGCCTTTAAATGCGAGTCCCACCTTAACAAACATCCCCAAATACTTTTTGCAAGGAACTCCAAAAGTCCGACATCAAATCCAAACAGCCGGGCTGGCGATGTTCGTGAGCTGTGCCCACTGCCGATCGGCCTGAAACCACAGCTGAGGCGCGTCATACTGGCAGTATCTGGTAGTCTTGTAGACTGGTGAACATGAACAGGTCAGTTGACAATGCTGGTCCATGAACATGTCAGTCGCAAATTCTTTGTCGGGGGAAGCATGGCATGCGTTGCTGAAAAGCTGAGACGCTTCATCGCCGCCGCATTGTTGTGATGCACCACTGATGTTTGCTATTTCAGTGGTGTAGCACTCTTCTTTTCTACCATATTCGCGCTCTGCTACTATGAGAGAAGAAGCCTCAAAGGAGCCAAGACAGACTTGCCTCTGCCTCTCGAGCTCCCACCCCGCTCGCAACCTCGGATCCACAGCATCTTTGGGCGGAGTTTCATCTGAGGCTCAGGTGCGAAACTCAAGTGAAGAAGAAGCATCGGCTTGGATCTGGAATTGAGGTCGGAGCAGATTCCTTTGTCATTGCCTTGCATGCCCAGGATCATAGGCAGTTGTAGTGGCACGGTATGCGCGATAGATCGGTTTACAGTGACTGTAGTGCTAGTGCCCCCTGTGGCATGAATACAATGTGCTAGACCAGAGCCATATAAAGCAAACGGCCCGTTTCATCGCATCCTGCAGTGGTCAGGTGAAACTATGACATACTGCCGTCAACAAGTGCATTTTTGCATAGTGAGCCAGTTGATCTTTGCATGTTGACATTCGTCATCATGGCAGCTGCATGGTGGGAAGCGGGATGGGGCCGATGCGAGAAACGTTGAAGCCAGCTTTAGTGTAGCACCTTCGTGCCTTCTCGTTGGTCCCCAATACGCTCAGATTTATCGTGAGAACGAGAATCCAAAGCCTCTTGCACGTTTCTCTGCGGCTTCAAGCAAAAGGCCGCCTAAGCCTTTGCCCTGGTGCGCGCGGTCAACCTTCACCTGCCCGATCGTTAGCCCTCGAGACATGGGTGTAACCACAAGAAGGAACACGAGCGAGAACCACAACAAAAAAAGCAGGAACCACAACAAGAAATGTAGGAAACTGGACAGCAAATTGAGGAATCAGAACGGCAAGTTGAAAAGCAGCCCTCTGAAACCACTGACATTGCAGAATCGATGCCAGAGCCTTTTGTGCCCACAGATCAGATATTCACATGATCACGCAGCAAAATGCAGTTGCGCCTGTGCCCCCCAGCTCTCCCTGGACCCCAGAAAGGCCAGAGCACGGGCACGGGGGAGTACGATTTTCGAGACGTTCAAGGCTCAAAATGCCGAATCTGTACTCCCCCGCGCCCGTGCCCCCCCCGCTCCCTGCACCCAGAGTGCGATTTTCGAGACTTTCAAGGCTCAAAATGCCGAAATCTGTACTCCCTCGGAGCCTCCGTGAGGTTACCACATAATCTTTTTGATGTTCTTGCAGATGCTTGTTGATGTTCTCGGATATTTGTTGAGGTTTCAACCCTCTCTCGATCGTTAGCTCCTGCTTTTCAAATTTCGCATACACGTAGCCGGTAACCATATTTTTGTCGCTTGCGACACGGCCGTCAGTGTGAACGAGGACGGCTTCAAAGCGCTTGCCAGCTCCTCAATACGATCCACTACCACACCGACTAGAGTTGCTGCATCCTTTGCAGTGAGGTTTTCGTACCAAGGCGTTTCTGAATACAGGTTTGCATGGTCCACTGCAAACTCTTTTTCTGAACGCTGCAAGCGCTTGGCGCAGTCTTTGACAGACTCGCACACCCAGTGTTCCTGATTTCCTCCCACAACGTTGTGCTGCGACTTCTCTATGGTCGGCTCGTGCATGCTCTCTTCCGTCTGCCATTCAAAGATGGCTAAGCGGCAGCAGGACACGAGCTCTGAGGTGTGGGAGACGGCCGTGGGTGCTTTCCTAGTCTCCGGCACGTGCCGGCTCTGGGCTTTCAGCAGCTCCCGTGGAGTCTGGTATTTCGCTTGGATCTGACCAGCACTGAGGCCCCATGCGCGATAAGGATGTTCACCACATCCATGTGTGAATGTTTAATACCATAGACTAAGGCCGTCTCCCTCCAGCTGTCACGCCAGTTGACATGGTATCCAAGATTCAGCAGAAATCTGACAATTGTCAGATTTCCACAAGCCGCTGCGTAAAAGAGTGGCGGTTGCTGGTTGAGGTCTACCTCCGCCAGGTCAACTCCCATCCGCACAGCGCGTCTGCCTAAAATTTCGCTCCCCCCTGCGCTGTCGCGCAGCGATGAAGAAAAGCACATTTTGCTTCAGCCGGCTGTGACGCCAGCTGACGTGGAGCTTCGAAAGTGCCTCCTTGGCTTGAGTGAAGCTGCCATCACCCACCCCTTCGAACAGCTGATCTTGATTCATCTCGGAAAAGTCTTGAGCTCAAGAATCTTGCAGAGGTGGCTAGGTGCTTGAGTCCACGTGCCCTGGCACCCAGCAAAGCACATGCCTGCTTGCTTGATCTGTAAACATGGGTTCTTGCACTCCCAAAGGCTGTGATTAACTTGGACGGGTACGCGGGTGCACCCTGCAGGAATTTCAGAACATGAAACAGGAAGAGGCAAGAACAAACGACAGCACGCAGTTCATCGTGCATAGTGCAGAGCGTGACATGTACATGGTATCATGTGCAATGCATATTGCAGAGTGTATACAGTAAACTGCGTATAGTATATAAGGAACAGTATGTAGTATATCGTGCATGGTGGTACAGTAGATACAGCAGTCTACGAATATAGTCGGGTGCCAATCATCGAAGGCTCTTCATGGTGCTCGGGCTGCCGCTTGCGGAGGTAGCGGAATCTCCAACTCCTCGCCCGGCAGTGCACCCTCGGGCACCGCCACGATCACTTCCTGTACGGTTTAGGGCTTGCTGTAGGGAAAGATTGAAGCAGAGAAGAAAGATTTGAAATCACCAGGTGTAGTGTAGTGTCAATACATACCGCGCAATCGCGCCTGTGTATATGCTGACAAGGGTCCATATCAAACGTACATCCAGTCTACTTCATGTCTAGCTACATCCGTGGTGCTCCCCTCCTGACCGCTGGGCGCCGTGAAAGAGAGCTCGTCGCCGGGCTGGGAACCCTCGGGAATGGTGACGATCATGGTGTCCACCGGTGGAGCCTTGGGCTTCGGCTTGGGGCTTTGGAGGGGCTTGGAGATTTTGGAACTCGTCTCAAAAACTGGCCCCACAAGCCATAGACGGACAGCCCCCGCATCAGCTCGCTCCACTTTTTCCCTCTGCTTTCTCCTCGCATCTGCAGGGCGGCCGTCGAGGAGGCCACCTGACAGCGACTAGGCTGCGGTTTCAGACACTCTCTGTTGTCTTCTCGCCCCTCTCATGCAGAACCTTCGTGGCGTTCTGGCAGCATGACTTCCAGACACCTGCAAGCGAGGTGCTGACATCCGCAAAGAAACTGCACCGATGCGGCAAGGCCCTGCAATGCCCTGCAGCCTCCGATAGTCTGCCCAGTACTGGTCGACCAACTCGTAAAGCTCCTCTGCCTGCTGATCGCAGCTGAACTTGGACCGTGCCATGCTGAGACCACACCTCCTCCGCTGTCTCGGCTTCCGCAGCTTCACGCTCGGTGTGCATGGCCAGGTGTCTTGGGGTATTGCACACAGCCGCAAAAGCACACGCTGTTTCGGATGCTTCCGAGTCTTCCGAGCAGCCGCTTCCAACGACCAGACAGTCCATGGCAAGGATGCGCATTAGCAAACCTCACGCGATCCCGAGCTTATAAACAGAACACAGCTGCTGAAGCGCACACCCGGCTTGAAACCGTTCTTGTCGAGCAGCTCTTCCAGCTTGGCCCAAGCTGCAAAAAGCCTATCATCAGGTTGAGGCAGGAGCAAAGAAGAGCGAGAAAGCGAGAGAGAGTGAGAGCTATGTTGTCTTCAACTACCACGGACCACTGGGTCCGTGAATACACAGCACGGTATCTGTCCCAAATTAACAACGGCATCAAAGGCAGTGAGTAGGACCGACAACCTGCAAGTGTACGATGCACATCAAACCGAAGATCTGGAAATCAGCATAAATCAGTACCCTCAAAATAAGGTTGAGCCAAGGGACGCTTCAGGCACTGCCTGCCGCAAGGTGGATACCCCAGACACAAGTCCGTGCATGCGAGTCGACACTCTGTGTGAGAACTGGTTTGTCGCAGCCGGGCCCCTACTGGTCTGAAGTGTCGCAAGCTGGCGACGTCCGGCCTCAAGCAGCTTCTCTCCCTCCTGCACAGATGCACTCCGCTCTTTGAGAAGCTGCTGCTTGTCGCTGCCCCGGTGATGTCCTCCTCACGCTGCAGCCAGGCTTTGGCCCATCGGCCGCTTTGAAGCCCCTGTTTTGAAGGGAAGGATGAGAGCTGAGACCGGAGAGCTGAGAGCTTTGCGCGGCACTCCTCCGAGGAAGCCAGGATGTCGGCACAGATCGAAGAGCCTGTCGACCTCTGAGGTCGAAAGCACTCCAAAAATTCCCCACCGCCATCGGCCATATGATTCTGTGTCCCTCTTGCCAGAGAGCAGCTCTTCAACCATTTCGCCGGCATCGTCTGCAGAAGCCTCCTGTCCAAGATGGACCCAGGGACTTTGATGCTGACTGCTTTCGTGAGCCGGTGCATGCCAGCACACTGGAACATGAAGCTCTGCGCAAAGCACCAACCAACAAGTATGGTACCAACAATGGAACTAACTCGGTGTTGCCGGGCCTACTTGGAAGAGTCGTACTCCTCAAGAGCCCCTCCCGCCTGAGGTTCCATCCACTGTGGTGGATCCCGGAGGCTCTGGCAGGTGAAACGTCGAGTGTCGTCCTGACACAGACGTTGTGTTTGGCCACACGAACTGACAAGGGAAGGCAAGGTGTTCAGCCATTGAATATTTCTTCAAGGCACCTCCCAGGCAACACAACGGCTGCAACAGCAGTCAAAGTCCCAGCGATCCAATAAAATCTTCTTTCCTCAGACTCAGAACCGTCGGCAGAGGACAGAATACAGACAGCGGTGTGCCTTTCAAGCAAGCCGGAAGACGCATCCAAGCATCTCTGCGTTATTGGGCGTGTAAGATCCGAGTCGCACAAATAGCTCGTCAGTATCTCATCACCAACATGAATGGGAAGGAGGCATACGAGCTCGCCAAATCCATCCTGCCAGAATAGAAGGTGCTGCCGACTCTGCGGCAGGGTTTCACTGTCACTCAGTGTGCGATCCACGTCCTGCGATGCGACTGTCGTGACATTGCTGAGGCAGGAATGATTGGCCTTCGAAATGATGGGATAGACCAGCTGCCAAGCACTGTCCAACGAAACGTAGGAGTTGTACCTAAGCTCCCATCACTGCCCTTTTCAACAAAAACGCACAAAGAGACGGAACAAGGTGCGACATGATGGTCATCGCATCGGCCATTGCCTCCTGTCGACAAGGAAGAACAAGCAGCTAATGTGCCCCAATACCGATAGCAGGTTTACTGTGATTTTTGCAATCGGCCCGTGCAGGGATGTTTTGCAGTTCGATGTGGTGAAACCCATCTGGGGACAGACTCCTTAGATGGACCTTCAGACTTGCAGTGAAAATGCAGCAGCTGAAGGTGCGCAAGCATCTCTACCTCTTCCATCCACGGGCTTTGTGAATGTGCTGTGGGACCCGAACGTGTGCCTGCCCTGTTGCGCAAGTGTGGCAGATATCATGTAGGCCATGTGATGGAAGCGATGGAAGCAGCTTGACCCTCACCACACTCCAAAAAGCGCAACTTAGCCACCAAAGTATGAAGAATACACAGTGTGAAAGCTTGCATTGACATGGACCATTTCGAAAACCCCAGCCCCCACCTCCATGCCTCCATCCCCTGTCGAAGTCCTGCTGTCCCGGAGACGCGTCCGGCCAAGTACTTGAAGCCCAGCTGCCATACGCATTGCGGCGCTCCTCGCGTCGAGGCCAAAAGCCGAGTGCTTGCAGCCGCTTCGCAGCGACGCAGCAGGCAACATGCCTAAAACATCCTAAAACCGCGTCCTCTCCCAAGCTCCCAGAAGGACCACGAAAGAGCGATGTCGACCGAAGATTCGTCAACGTAATGCCCGCATCATCACCTGCAAGCCTCGATCTGCCAGACAATTCGAAGAATTGGCCGGAGCATGCCGTGGGGCTTCTTCGAACTCGCTTCGGCAAGCGGGTAGCTCGTCGAATCTGGCCTTTAGGCCTTCGATATCGCGATCCACAGCGGTCACGCCAAGCCCTAGGAAGAGGGCATCTCTCAAGAAGAAACCTCGCGAAAGATGAGTTTAAGCTCCAGACGTGCCACATGCTTCTCTGTAAACACCTAGCAGCTCGACAGAGGCGTCCAATGTCTGACAGGAAGCATCCAGAAAGTGCGCCTGGTCACCGGGCTTGAAGCTTCTGGTGGCAAAGATGCCCGCACCACCAAGCTGTGAAGGCTGGATTCGTAGGCCCGTCTCTTCCAGCTCCATGGGCTGCCGGATGCTTCCGGCGCCGTGAAGTGCAGGCTTCAGGCTCAAGGTTGGATGTGGCGTCACACTGCATGTTGAGCACAAGTGTGTGAACTGTATAGGGTTCTTCTACAGTGTCTCTACAATGGACAACGGACCAAAGCAGGCAGACCGAATGGAATAGAGACGAGAAGGAGAAGGCAGTAGCTCAGCCAAGGCGAACGAAGGCAGTACAAGTATGGTGCCAAAAATTACCAAAAGAGGACAGGAAGGATCCGCAAGTTCTCCGGCAGGAAAAGTACCAGCAACCCTGCAAGAACTCGTCCAGAAGAACAGAGAAAAAGCGCAACAAGAAGGTAGAAATCTACAAGGAATGCCATCCCGGCACGGGTTGGGGTGGAGGGACGGCCTCCCGTTCAGCGTCAAACAGCTGCAGGTCAACTCGTTAGATTTTCATGGTCCACTCCTGCTCAACAAGCGAAAACCGGACTGGAAGAAGCAGCTGGGTCCGATGCTTCCAGTCTGCTAGGCCTGCCATACGGGATGGGTTTCGCAGCAAACAGAACAACAACACGTTGAAGGGCGAACCTCGCTTTACACTTACGATAGCGTTTCCACAAGGCTTCTTCACACCCTCCCCGCACATCGTCGCGGAACAAACGTGAAGGTCGCTAATCTGACAAGGGGCCAACTAAGGGTTGTGTGTTGCTGTGGGTTTCAAGACAGCCGAGTTGAAGTTGTGGTTGCAAGCTCATGCTGCCCAAACAGTATTTCCCCGAGGCCCGAGCTGCGACAGCTCAGTGACCTCAGGAGCCACACGTGGATTTCTGTGAGGCCCGAGACAAAGCGGCGGAGACAAAGCTCGGGTGGCCGGCTGCGGCTGGATTGGTTTGCCTCAACCGCTCCATCTCCCGCAGGTACTCTTCCATGGGCCTCCGTCTATACCGTCTCGGGCAGCATTTGCGCTTGCTCTATCAGACTCTAGGGGAGCGACGCTGTGTAGTTCAGAGGAAAGAAGCCTTTGTTTTCAGGAGCTCCGACTAAATGGCCAAAGACCTCGTCATAAAAGCAATGAATGGAATCGATTCGACTCAATACACACGGGTAAGATCCTCACCCATCCGGTTCCTCCATCGTGCAGGACCTCCACAACGTTTCCCACCTTGAGAGGAAGCGGCGCTTGATTCCTCAGCTGAGTCCAGGGATCATCTTCTGCTTCTGCCAGCAAAGATGAGTAGATGCACGGTTCGTGTCCCGTTCGTGTCCCGATGACAGCTTCTGAGTTTATGGCGGAAACCTCCAATCGATCACCTCACTTGTTGGCGGCATCACCAATGAGAACAGCTGCGCAAATCGTCAGATATCTTTCCATATCAAGATAAGTTAAAGGAGGATGGTGGTGACACTGTGGTGATGGTCATGATGATGATGATGATGGTGGTGGTGATGATGGTCATCATCACGGTCACGATCATGAACATGACCATGACCACGTTCATGATCTTGGCCACGATCAATGCATACAGCATGCGATAATCATGCTGGCATGAAGATGATGAGGGTTTAGTAGCAGGCTTGTGAAGCTACTGTCAGTTCTGCCTTAGCCGTGCGTTCGACAACACACGCAGAACTGGGAGCGGGACCGAAGGATCGAAATCGTAGAGTGCAACGTACCTCTGTCCTGCTCCATCCCCGGGCCTCGCACACAGGAATCAGGGAGACGCGAAGGGCTATCTCCCTCTCAAGACACAAGGAGCGAGAGCAACGCATAGACAGTCGGGCAGATCTGGGAGTTCAATGCACACTAGCTGGAGTGGAGTGCAGTTGCCTGAAATCATCTTCGGGTCCAGCCCTGGCACAGACGGACTGCTGCGAGAATGACGCCAGGGCGGCTTCACCAGTGCTGCCAAGAAACATGTTTTGGTCTGGTTGATTTCAACGGCCAACCTGTCACGGAGCGTCTTTTTGACACATCGCTGATTCGGATCTACCGATCTTGGTCTCTGGCCAGTAACTGCTGCCCTGCTCGAGACCTCGTCCTACATGTGGCAGAGCACGCCTCGCAGGTTTGCGGAATCTGCGCGCCCTAGCACCACAGAAAACTTCGCAGAGTCGTTATCTGTATTTAGTAATCCATCATGGTTTAGGATTTGGGATTCAAGATACCAGGCACCATTATCTGTATTCAGCTATCTGGAAGGTTCTGGGTCTGGAGTCTGGAGTCTAGAGTCTAGAGTCTAGAGGTGAGCACCATCACATTTGCTGATTGTTGTCAGCTGTGGCGACAACCCACTGTGCCTCCTCAGGCACTTGCCTCAATGTTCAGGGTTTCGGGGTTTCCATGCTAGGACTCAGATGCCGCCTTCAGCACGTGACGGCCATACCCCAAGCCGCTCTTCTACTGAGCTGAAGGTCTTCGATCCAAGAGGCGCAGCCTGCTTGCACGGGAACTTCTCTGACAACCCAAGAAGCACAAACACACGTGCTGCATGGGACATGCTCGTGCGTTGCGTGTCTTACTTGTTGCTCAGACGAGAACCCCAACTTCCCAGTTCAAACACTAATGCGTGTTTGTGCAGAAAGCTGAAAGGCAACTCTGCGAAAAGGTCCTTTTGCACTTGGTGCACCTCCTGTACAACGGGCTCTCGGAAGCACCGGGATTCCGGCTTCCTTCGGCCCTGTGGCGAGCATTGAAGAAACTGGGTGGCGCAACTCACACGCCAGCCTCCAACCTCGTGCAGTTCTACTGAGAGAAACGTCATCATCCAGAAACGAGCACTTCAGTAAGGCTGGGACGCCCCTCCCACGCCGCAAATCTCCAAGATGGGGTTGGCTTCGTCCTGTACCTTTTTGAACTCTTGCACTCTTGTATCAGTCATGACCTCGACACCCCGCAAGCCAAGGAGCAAGTTGCACTGACGCCCCAAACTGCTGAGCCAACCAGATTGCCTCGAAGGACAGTGGCTTCGCTCTGGAGCCCTTGACACACCAATCTAAAAGCAGCATGACTCTAATGCCGAGCGACAGTCTGAAGGTGCAAGCATCGGGTCGCTCTCCCCAGCCGGAGCCGTGAGCGGCCCTTTGCCAATGCCATGAAAATCACCAGTTGGTCCTGCAAAACACGCAACGCCTCTCATCCCAACCCCCTGCGACCTGCCCTGCCTCGAGATGCTCGTCGGTGCAGCCTCCGCCGCCCAGGGCGTCCAAGGCCTTCCGAACGGCTTCCTCGCCCACGCTCTCTGCGGAGGCTCCCCTCCTTCCCATCGAGTCACCTCCGAAAATGCTGTGCTCTGTCTCCACAGCCACCACGAGGCCACAGGCATCACCACCATTGGAGGGGCATTCCTGCGAATTCAAGTGCACCTGTGCGTCAGGGAGACGCTCCTTGAGCAGGATGCTAGCGCCAGCTGGGCGCTTTTTCAAGTCCCCCTCGACCATGCGGCCCAGTACATGGCGAGGAACCCCCGCAGAGCTGTACACTGCTGCAGAAACACCTCGAATAGAATGTCAGAGTTCTGTTTGGGCATCCATCGCAGAGAAATTGAAGGGTGACTTTACGGGTGACAGCCTGCACCCCAAACTCCCCCAAACCTAAAAACTAACAGACCCTGACACCGAGACATACCGAGAAACTTCGGACGGCGCCGCAGTTCAGAAGCTCGAAGCACGGAAGCGGCCAGCAAGGGGCGGAAGCGCGGACAACGACTTCGCCGCCTCCACCAAGGAAGCCCTTCTTGTGGACATCCATTTCCAGATTCACGCCCAAGAGGAGTCGCAGCATGGGAAACAACACGAGTTGCATGTACTCAACTTGGGGAGCAGTCACTTTCCCATCCTTGGGTGAGCATACATTGGTACCCCCTTGCAGGGTAACCTGCACTGTGGACTTGAGCATGCCAGATCTAGCCAGCATCACCGGCAGGAGAGCCTGTAGCATCAGCATTGTGGAGCCCCCAGTGCCCGCATCCACCACAAGCTCGGTGAGGTCGTTGTCCTGCTCCGTGACATAACGGAAAGCCGTGCTGCCTGCTGCCAGTCCCTCACAGAAGCCCCCTGCCAGTCGGCTGACACCCTCTACCGCAGCCAGATGTGAAGGTCTCAGGCCCGGGGCCGACCTGCCCGACCTCACGTTACGAACTCGCACTTCTCTCTTCAGCACGGCAGCGTACGCCACGGCGTTGCGCAGCAGCTGTCCGCCCCCTTCCAGGTGGGAACCGTCCAAGTCCAAGCCGCCGCTCGTGGAAGGAGGCTCGATGGGCTTGATCTCTGAGGTCAGGTATAGATTGGGTCCGGAGACCTTTGCGTCCTTGCTGGCCGTGGCCTCCGCCTCTTTCGGGGCTTTGGCGCTTCCTCGGGCACCGGATCCGGACAAAACCAAGCCCAGCAAGATCCAGTCGTCTCGGGTCTGGACGGACAGAGTCACGGCGGCCTTCAGCTCAAACCGAAAGGCCATCCTACAGAATCCTACTGCAATGCAGATTTAATGCCAGTTTGCCCTTTTGGGGCTCCACAGTGCAACTGAGCTGCTTTCAAATCCGGAGACCACTGCACGAGGCCTGCAACGGCACCAGCCATGGCCTGCCGGAGCCTCACGGTCTGCTCCTGGGACCCAGCCGCTTTGCACTGGACGTAGAAACCTCGTCCAGATCTTTCCGGGAATAAAGCGGGTTCCTATAATTAGGGCTTCATGCCGCCGCCAGCTATTCACGTCTACCAGCAATCCCCCTGACACACGTAGTAGCTGCCGCCCCCCGAAGCCCTTGGCTCTCCCAAGAAACTGGGCTTCTCCAAGGAGAGGCCCTGCCAGGTGGCCAGAGCCTCCCAAGGTGACGAGAAGCTCTCTCATCTCTTCAAAAACTGTTGAAGGCCGACCTGCTTCTCAAAGTGGAAGCCCAGCCTACACGCGAAAGTTCTCGAAACGGAAGGTCTGAAGACAAGGCCCGAACACCCCCCTCCCCCCCCCGTCAAACCCAAGCTTAACATTCACAGTCTGAACCCTGCAACCACAAAGCCACAAAGCTCCCAAAACCCCACGTCCACAGAGACTTCCCGTGGAGGCCTGCAGGCTCTGCTCCAGGGCCTCTGCTCCGCGCCCGGAGAGCCTCAAAGGAACGGACCGTACGATGGCTCCCGGTTTTTGCGAATTTCTGCAGCCAAGTGGCCGCTGGGCAAGTTCCTGCTGCATCTCTGCCAGAGGCTTCCGCAAGAAGTCTTCAGAGATTTGGAAGTATGCCACCGCGGCGTGCAGAGTTTGAAACGAGTTCTGCTTTTGCAGCTGCTCCAAGGCTCGCATGCTCTGGCTGCTTAGGGGCCTCTCGTGGAATGTGAGCCACATCTTTCCACGAAGCTTGGGCGGCCAGCCCTTACAGTGTACCAAGGGCTCGGAGACCGGACAGATCAAGGTGCTTAGAGCCCGGGAAATCTTCCGGAAGCGCACTGACGCATCGTAGGTCGCCCAGACGTCGACAGACTCCCCGGTCGCAGCCAGACCGAAGTCGCAAACGGGATTGCCCTCCGGCAGGGCGGCTGCTGAAGCCGCCGCAGAAGCAAGGGACTCAGCTGAAAGCTGACGTTGCACAAGCCCTGTCACTGTGAAGGGCTGCAGCGAGACTTGCTTTACTGAAGCGTCTCCTTCTTCTTGCCGCTTGAGCATGTCGTTGGAAAGCTTCGCTGCCACCCCAGGGAGTCTTGCTACAGTGATGTGCGGATGAAGATTTTGGCAGAGGTGAGCGCAAGTCGAGTCTAAAGACGCCCTGAGCGCAATGAGCCCAAGACCCTCATCCCAACACAATGCGTGCACGGTGACCTGCACCTCATGGCCTTCCGTCCTCTCGAGCTCTTCCTGAGCTTGTGAAGTTTCCCGCCCAAGTTCGGGTACCCAGAGCAAGGTGACGTGAGGATCAGCGATTGGCTGTAAGCTGGGTGCATGCGCTGTTTGGATCGACTGCATTGCTTTTGCTAGCGCCTCCAGGAAACGTCCCTCCTCCTTCTCCCACAAGATGCTTTGCCAGTCTAATGCGACCATCCAGTAAAGAGTCTTCCATCTCTTTGAGAGATCCACCTGGTCTGGCAAGACTCGTGCTTCAAACTTACAATATGCACCAACAAAGCGAACTTGCGCTGCAGCAGGGATGGGGGCATATGTCGGATAAAGCAACATGTTCATGTGTCAAAAACGCTCCCTTGAAGGCCTCGTGTGCCTTTGCTGCCTCCACCGCGTGCTGGTAAAGGTCTTCAGTGAAAGACTCTTCCGACAGGAGCCCTGCGTCGTAGAGCTTGCTCAAAGCACTCTGAAGCAAAGCCTGCTGTGGGAGGCTCATGTCAAGATCCGCATACACGTCGAACTGGCACTTCTCCTCATCCGTCAAGACTTCAGCGCTCTCCCCCGCAGACAAGACCACTGCAGTCGCATCTGTGGCTTGTGGAACCAGCGAGAGGTGGGATAAACCCCTTCCCGAGATCCGAGCCGTGCACACCTCTGCGGCGTGGGAAAACTCGCCTTCCTCATCTTCAGGGTGGCAGAGATTTAACAAAGCTAGCACCATCCGCCCCTCTTGAGTTGAGCGCTGAAGAAAACCTTGGCAAACGCTTCAGCGTGTGGATCTTGTCTACGAAGAGGTAGCGCATGTTCGGGCGAGCTGCCGCCGCGGTGAGCACCTTCAGGAACTCTTCTTTCGGAGACCTCCCCTTTTTTCCCATGGCCGCAGCCACCTCGTCCTGGTTCACCCAATCGCCGCCCAAGAGTTCCCTCATGCCCCTGCAAAGGCTGGACTTCCCACTTCCCTGGAGGCCCCGGACGAGGACGACCACCAGGGCCACGTCCTCATCCTCGGCTCTCTCCTCGCTCGCTTTCGGGGAAGATCTCAAAGAGGGGAGCTGCTCACGGACCTTCTGCAGCCAGACTTCCGGCGCCTGCACCCACTCACTGCCCTTCAAAAGAAATCAACAAGACTTTCGGGATTTCGCAACGCGAAAACGAAAGCTGAAGTCACCAAGAGCCTCGGTTTCCAGGAGAGGCCGATGTCGGCACAGCGCCGGCACCCACTGCTCCAGGGGCAATTCGGCCTCATCTCAGGGCTCCACGGAGCAGATCCCTGCCCTAGGAAGGAGCGGTTTATTAGCGTAACTAGGGGCCCGCAAGAAGGAGTAGAGCTCCGGGAAGGAGGCCAGCCAGCCAGCGGGGAAGCTTGCAGTGAGGCTTTCGGGCAGTGCCCTTGCCCAGCTTTGACTCTCAGGCCGGAAGAGATCGTGTGCGGCTTTGAGGTCTACCCAGAAGGAAGGCAAGGTCTCCGCAAAGCCCTTCTGCGGAAGCAGGAGCAGCACCCAGCGGTAGAAAGAGAGGTAGTCCTCTAAGATCTTGCTCTCATCCGGGTGGTGGACATGAAGAAGTCGGATACGGCTGCGGATGCGCGATTCGGAGGCTCTCCTGCAGAACTTCTCCCGGAGGGCCCGAACCGTAACATACCAAGCATTCTTCCACTTGTAGACCAGGGCAGTTCGTGCAAGTTGGGTGCCGGAAGGGCCCAGAGACCGCACAACCACGTAAACCACGGCACCTTCCCGGTTTGGGAGGAGCAGGTGCTTCCGCTCCAGTTCTTCCACAGCTCGGGCGTCGCTGACCAGGGCTTCCTCCAAAACTTCCACAGGATGGAGCCCTGAGCTGGTGTCACGTCCCCAACAAGTCGAACAAGCATCTGAGAGACTCCCAAAACAAAAGCCCCTTAGTCAAGTCTAGAAGTTTGCAGCTTCCAAGCCCGAGGCGCCCCAGTCACTGAAGATCTGAGCTGCATGCTGCGGCTCTAGCAGCGTCAGGCCGGAGGTCTGGAAGGAGCTGGGAGCAGTCATAGCGAAGAAGCGGATGTGCGCCTGAATCTGCCCTTGACCTCGCGGGACATCCCGTGCGACACACGAGTACAGTACATGCTCTGACGTAGGTTTCCACTTTCTTATGCTGTAGCATGCTACATGCCAGAATCTAGACGATCTCTGGCGAGGAGCCGTCGTGGTAGCTTTGGATGTGCTGGTGTACCGGGGAGATGGATTCTCCACAAAGCGTCGCGGAGTGCTCAGCTACGAAGCGCATCATTGTGGTCCTCTGCCTCTCACTCAGCTGGAAGATCTGGGCAAGGAAGACCTCGGCCATCTCCACAGCGAACTGATACCGATCCTCCGTATAGGTTCTCAGGTCTGCCAAAGCCTCGGCCTCTTGCGTAGCCACGACCACCAGAGTGACGTTCTTGGATCCCAAGGCAAGGTAGGGCCTTTTTGGGGCCCATTATGGCTATTACAGATTATTGTCATAATTATTGTATCAGTCTTATCATTATTATTGTTATGTTTTTATTATCCTTATTCGTGTTACTAGTACTATTATTGCGATTACTATCCCTGTCACTATTATTACTGTTGTTATTATTACTACTTTTCTTGTGACTTTTCTTGTTATAACTATTGTTAATATTATTGTTGTTGGGCCGTTGCCTTCCCTGGCCCGGGCCGTGAAAGAAGAAGGAGGCCTTGCACATCTCCCCATTCTCCTCCCAGGCCAAGAAAGCCGGCCCCACAAATTCCCCAAGGCCCCAAAAAAAAGAAGAAGAAGCAGCAGAAGAACAGGAGAAAGAATTTTTTCTCGGCAATAATGACAATAACAATGACAATTGACACTAATGATAACAGCGACAGTAACAATAACAAGAAGAGCTTGGGCTGAAGCTTCGGTGCCTTGGTGGTGAAGACCACGGCCAGGCTCAGGCTGTGCTGCGCCTCGTCCATGCTCCTCAAGGCCGCCGGCAGAACGGAGAGGGCGCAGCGGCGCGCGCCGTTCGCCTCCCGGGCCAGGGGCCCAAACTTCTCCTCGGAACTCCCGAACTTCCGCATGGCCGCGAGCTCACAGAGCAGGCCGCCGGTCTCCTCGCGCACCTCCGCGTGGCCCCGTGGCAGGGACTCCCAGAAGGGCCAAGTTCTGGGAGAAGGCCCGGTCTGCATTGGCCCTGCTTGCCGGCTGGGAGTCGATGATGGTGAAGGTTGGACCGGAGCGCAGCTTCTTGCTTCGCTCCACCTTTCGGATCTTTTGGGTATCAGCCTGCATGCTACTAGAAGCTTCTTTCGCGGTGTCCGCCGCGCCCAGGCAGGAGCGCAGCCAGCTTTCCACTCCTTGTTCCGGGACTTGCGGCGCAGCTTGGGCTTTCTCTTTCCCGAAGAAGCTGCGCAGCATTCCCTCGGAATTTTCGGGGCAAGGCTTGGACGTGGCCTTGGTGGCCTTGGTCCGTATCGCTGCGTGTTGCTCTTTGCCTGCCGCCATGGCTTTCTTCTCGGCGGTGCAGCGGAGGGCATAGTAGTGAAGCATTGTGGCCATCTCCTCCGACTTGCACTGCAGACCTGGCTTTAGAAGAGGATCTGCAGAGCAAAACTCCACTTGGAAGCCCTTGCCACAAACGGCAGGAATCAGCGATGTGTCTGCCAACTGCGGTGGGTCGGCCTTGCAAGGGTGTCATCGCATCTTCCGGAAGAGTGAGAGGGGCAGCAGGGGTTGAGGCTCAAGACCCCTTGATATCCCGAGTCCATCGAGCCTTGAAATCGAAGGCCACACCAAGGTCGCTGCCGTTTCGGGCAAACGAAATCTGAAGCCCCTGTCGGCGGTCCAGACGCGACTCGATCACATCGCCACTTCCAAAAGTGTCCTAGGTGCTTCAGGCTCCGACAGCTGCCCCCCCAGCCAATGTCTGTGGACAAGGACAACGAAAAGACTGGTAGCAAACACATAGGAGAAAGAATTGCGAGAAAGCCCAGAATCGCCGAAGGAGTCGAACACATTGGCGTGGGATTTCCTGGGCACAGACCATGGCCAGGTTCAGTCGAAAGGGAAACAAAGCAAAACTTATTTCGGCGAGCTTGCAAAAAACCCTTGCACGGGCTTAACTCGGGTTTGTGGGGCCTTTCCTACATAGGTCCTACATCACTGGGAAACACACACAAGTAAAACAAAAACAAGAACCTCGCAACTCAAACCGAAAATGAATCACGGCATTCAATCAACTTGTCTTGCTTTTTGACTGAAAACAGAGTGCACAGAGTGAAGCTGCACAGAAACGGCCGTCGCAGCCTCTTCTCCCACAACCCCGTCCGCCCTGAACCTCTAAACCTTCAGGGACATCCTCTCCCCGCTCTCATGTTGCAGCTCCATGTCTTCCCTGTCCCTCCGAAGCCAAAGCTGGTCTCGTCGGTTCCCACAGCGTCTGCAGAGGCCTCGTCCGCGACCCAACCCACCCGGACCAAGCCGGAAAGAATGCGCACGGAGAAGAGGCCTTCATAGGGAGCGGCAAGCACTGGCCTACTCGACACCCTTCCCTTTGCTGTGAGTTCCGAGGTGACAACAGCTTGGGCTTTCAGCTTCAGCCGAATTTGAACCGACCCCCTGCGGATCTCGAACTTCTATCTCACCAACAAGCCCTTTCAATAAAAAACAACCAAACAGAAAAACAACACCGCTTTCTGGCCTTGGCCTTTCTCTGGGATGCGCAATCCTTGCAGGCAGGATCCCCGCCAAAGGCCTTTGACTGAAGAGGAAATCCGCCGACCACTGTCCTCTCGCAACTTACCAGCTTCCAGCCCATGGCTCTTAAGGGTTCTGGGCTTGAGGTTTAGGGCATTGGGATCAAGGTTTAGGGGCTCATGAGACCATGATAAATCGAGTCTTTGGTCTTTGGGGTACGAACTCCTCGACGGTCAGCCCTGGCCGGGCCACCCACATTGCACGTGCAGCTACTTCTTGGCGGCGGACGGCTTGAGCTGCAACGGAAATTTCGGCAGATCTTGTGAGCAAGTTCTGGCGTTGGTTGCTCTTTTGTGGCGTTGTTTCTCGATCTTTCTCGCTGGCTCTTGCTTTCTGCGAGGCTGGACGGAAGCAGACCAAACCCCTCGCCCTCCGGTCTGCTCGTGAGTCGCAGACTTCATGCAAGGCCTTTTCCTGATGCTTCTGGACGAATTCGGTTGTCGGACTAGGCATTGGGCTATCCACCTTCGGTGAAAGACACTCGCTGGTCGGCTGCAAGAGTTTTCAAAAGGATCATGTGAGCACCTGCGGCACAGTCGAAAAAGGCCGTAGCCTGCAGCGCCCGAAGAAAGCCATTCTGCCGCATTACAAGCATCACCAGAGTCAGTAGACCTGATGCAAGGTCTATGTGTTGAGAATGAGAATCATGTTCCTCCGCACCACTTTTCTGAACATCAGCGTAGGTTCAAGGTGCGGAGGAATGCGCAGAAGGGCAGCACAAAAAGAGGCAGCTCAGTAGTCGGTGCAAAGGGGGTGAGAGACAGCCGGGCCAGCCGGAAATCTTGTCAAGGGACCTCTGGCCTCTCACTTGGACATGATTCCCAAAGCCTTCTCACCCATGAGGTCCCCATATTTCTTTGCCTCCGCCTTGTCTTCTTCTGTGATGTCATCCCAGCAGGCATTGGGGGTGTCATCTTTGCAATATGCCGCGAGACACCGGGACACTCCCACACAAGAGCAGTTGAACTCCCCGACGATCCACTTCTCCTCCTCCTTGGGCGTACCCTCGGGGGAGGCAAGGATGAAGTCCGTGGTCCACCAAAGAGGGACCGGCTCTTCAGCCAGCTCCAAAGACGGCATCACCTTTGGCAGATCCTGAGACCGAGACGCTAACAAGGACACTTCACAAGGACTCTATGCGTGAACATGTGAGTTTCGGGGGCCTTCTGCAGGAAGTTGTCGGTCAGCGTCTTGAAGGTTGCCTCCTCGGGGCCGTAGTAAGTGTAGATGGAGCCGGTGCCGCCCACGGCGGAGATGCCGCCCTCTTTGGGCTTCTTGTGGATGATGCCCACGAGCGAATCCACGATGAGGTTGTAGCGGAGCTCTCCTCTCAGTTCTCAGTTCTTGCAAAACCCCCGCTAACACTCATTATCCTCGCCTGTGTTGCTATTCTGACAGAGCCACAGCCAACAAAGCCCCCGAGCCAGCCTTCCACGATGCGCGGGCAGAAGCGCTGGTCCACCAGCTGGCCACCGGCCTCCTTGCCGCCCTCGAGGTACTTTCCGACGCCCTTGGAGGTCCACTCGCCGGACTTATCCGTGCGGCCGCTCACGCAGAACTCGATGAACTCCGCCACGGTGTGGGTCTCCTCGTGGTTGTCGTTCGCCTCCATCAGCTTCAGGACCTCGCCATCCTCGCAGGACCTCTCACCGTACTCCTTGCAGTAGTTGCCCTCGGCCAGCTTGATGATCCAGATGCCCTCGCCCGAGGAGCCGCGGTTCTGCTTGATCACACGCGGCTGGAAGGCCATGGTCTTCTTGAAGCCCGCGGCCTTAGACCGACGCGACATCGCGGGAACATGCCGAGGGGGCAGGAGGAGGCACACCGACCTGACACACAAGCTTGGGCCACCACGAACTCGTCAGGACTGTAATAAGCCAAGGTGTCCTCCAGCCCGATGTTCAGAGTCGCCACCTCCGACGCGGAAGCAGTGAAGCCGTCGCAAGCCCCGCTCCGTATTTGCCCAGCCTTGCACAGAGCGTCCTTGGCGCCCATCTTCTCCATCACGTCCGGAGAGGGCCACACCTGTTTTTGCAAGTCAACTTCCTACGTTGACCTCTTGGCTTTTGCTCGACTTTTTGGGTCTGGCTGCTGCCTCTCTAGCGACTTTAACATATTGCGGCTGATCCAGAAAAAACAAAGGCAAACACAGTTCTGGGGATGGCCACACCTAGACCGATTGAATGACTGCTTAACGGGAGAATTCCACACCGGACATACGTAAGCTCTGCCCACCTGGATGCCAGCCTTTCGAAGTTGACGCATGCCGTCATCGAACTTCTGCTGATCGCCGCCATCTGCCTTGATCTGACCTGCAAGACAGAACAAACTTACGAGTGTAGGCATCGCTATCACCCTCACCACCACCACCGATGCCACTGCCCCGCTTGCCTGGGTTGCAACGGACGATGATGAACTGGAAGTTCTTACACAGCTCGAAAAAGACATCGTGCTCCTCATGCGTGTAATGGATCCTGAGGTCTAGCAGTCCAAAGCAGACGCAACGATGAGACTACTTTCAGCAGCATCCCTGGCCACTCGATGGCATCTTCAGATGAGAAACAGCTGGCAGCTCATGCCGCTGGCGATCATGCCGTTGGCGAACACCATGGAATCATACCGGTGGCCTGCCCGAGTGAACGTGCAGACATGTGGCATGCTTGGTCGCTCTTGCTCCCTCTCGCTCTCAACTCTTTCGACTCGATCACCGAGATCTGCACCGTTGCTGCTCTTGTCTGAACCTGCCCATGCGTTCCCGTCGGGTCCACAAGACTCCACCAAAAAGGAACGAGATGGTCACTCTGGTTCAGAGCCGCCCCTGCCTCCATAAGGCTGGCTACGCACAAAGATCTGGCAGAGCGCCCCCTTGAACTTTGGCTCTGCAGGTTGTGGCAGCAGGCCCTTATAGTCCTGCACGACATGCGCACATCGTCCCCAACATGTCCTGAAGCCATCTTCCGCAAGGCCGACAGGCCCTAGAATCCTAGAAATCCAGGGCCGGTCCTTGGCGACGACAGTAACGCGACCAGTGTCCACCGGGCCAGGGCATGGGCCTGCCAAATTTACGACTCTGCAGGCTTTCAAGACCAACTTTGAGCGAAAACGGTAACAATCACTCGAATGTTCTGGCCGACAGCCTTTGGCAGGGCCACCTGTTCAACAGCGCTTGCACTTTGTCCTTCAACTGTGTCCATGACTGTCGCAGCACCTGTGGCCAGAGCATCCTTCACTTTGGCAAGCTGATCGGCGGGCAGTTCCTGCAAGCTCGAATGCTGGCACTGGGCCTTGCAGACTCTTTCGGACGTTGATCACAACCGCGGTCTGCTACCGCTATCGCCCGTCCACGCTCGACTCGAAGCTGCTCGGCAATGCCGTTGGCTCGGAAACTTAAAAGACAGTGTGGCAGCATGTCCGCGTCCTTCAATGCTGCAGCGATCTCGTCGACTGACTTTGCCTGGATCTCATTTTTGACATCGGTGGATGCTGCAGACCTTATGGCGAGCAGGATAAAGTAAGGAGCACGGGTCCAACAGGTGAATCTGACGCTTCACCTGCTTTTAAGAAACACGCCCCATGTTGCAAAGATGCTGCCGGGCGAAACACAATCTTATGTGCGCGTGCGCAAATCTTGAGCCTCTGTAGCATTGCCAAGACCAAGACAATACGCGCGAGTAGCATGACCTACAGTAGACTATATTCAATGTGAATGTCACATTCAACTCTCAACAGTGCCTGCATGGCACGAGCGTCACATGCAAAACGAGGCATCATCATTTCGTCGTAAGAGCATCTTCCAAAATCTTGCTAAATGCAATTGTTGGATGCTGCTTGGAAGGTTTGGAAGTCGGTAGACTTGGAACAAACCCGAAAACAGCCCAGCCTTGGCTGCCGGGCTTCTAACAAAATCGCTGAAAGTTCGGGTCAAGCGAGGATTACCGTCCAACAGGTGGGCATTGGCAAAACTTTGGTCAGGGCTTGCTCTAAAGTTGGCTTTCTCCGTGACTGTCCCACGTAGCAACGAATCTTTCTGTTTTAAGACGAAGCTGTGCGACTGTCAGAGTGGGGTTTCACGTCATCAACATGCACAACCTCGTGCCAGCTAAGTAACGAACTTAAAGTTCAATAAATAGCGATGTTGCGAGCTATGCATAAAACTCCTTTACTCCGTCTCGCCTTTTGGGGCGACTGCGAAACTCACGTCCTGTAGTATTATTGAAATAGTGAGTCATCGACCTAGCTCTTACCATAACATAAAACCTCGGTGTTGGGGGTTAGGAATATTGAATAAAACCATATATCCAGAGAACATGTCGCCAATTTTACATTCATTCGAAATTTTTCAATCCAAATAACGCGTCCGTCCTTTCGGAACAATCAAGGTAGCTACAAAATGTCTGTAGGTCCCTTGGGTGGTGCTGTGGTTGCCTTCCAGGCTCGTCTTGGTGCGGTGGCACTCCAGGCACAGCGCCTGCAGCTCCAGCTGCTGACTCAGTGACCTTTGGCTGGGATGGGGACCAGAACATCGCGGCATGAGCACTTGTGACCAAACTGGCGCGTCTATGGCATGGCCGTCGTTTCACGGTGATGAGAGCGGTGTCAATCCCTTGAGCACAGACTTGCTGGCGGGCAGCAGGAGCGCGCTGGGCTCGGAGTCTTACCGTGACCGTAGTGACCGCGTAGTGACCGCGTAGTGACCGTAGTGACCGCGTAGTGACCGCGTAGTGACCGTAGTGACCGTAGTGACCGCGTAGCGACCGCGTAGTGACCGCGTAGTGACCGCGTAGTGACCGTATAGTGACCGTAGTGACCGCGTAGTGACCGTAGTGACCGCGTAGTGACCGCGTAGTGACCGTAGTGACCGTAGTGTGACTGTAGTGACCGCGTAGTGACCACGTAGTGACCGCGAAGTCTCTCTGGCTC